TAAAGTATAATCAAGCTTTGAAGGCTCGTCATGATTTGCAAAATAAAATTGATTCAATCTCATTGTAAGATATTGATGATTCAAATGAGTGGTTGGTAGGAGAAATGGTTGCTAACTTGCAAGATGCCGAAGACGAGCTTGTATTTGAAGATGATAGATTGACATAGGGAGATGTGGCAAGAGCTTCAGATGCTGGAGAATTACAAACATATACAAGACAGATGACAAAAAGAAAAATGAGTGTAAAAGCATCAAGCTCGGCTCCTGCTATTGTTGAAGACATAGAGAATGAAACATATTTTGATGAAGAGGAAGGAGTCGAAGGATAAGAAGAAGAGGACAAATTCAATGAAGATGATTTGTGTGAAAATAACGATAATATTGATTATGATAAAAGACTTTTATGTAAAATTTTATTGTTTTGAATTTTGAAACTTTTTGGTAATGTGACATTGTGATTTTGTATCTTAGATTTTCTTAATTTAATAGCATATTTTTATTTAAAATTTTAAATAATTATATTTATTAATTATATTATATATTTTTATATTTTAGCGTCTCGCTTCGCTCGGGCGAGCGCCTAGCGCTTGGGGCGTTTTTGGACCTTGAAGCCTTTTGGCGCCTAGCGCTTTTTAAATCACTGTTATATGCAAACTCTGTCATAGGTAAGGTTAAGTCCCAGTTTTTCAGTTTCTCTCTAATTAAACATCTAAGAAGATTTTCCAAAGAACAAATAACAATCTCAGTTTGACTATCTATTTAGGGTGAATGGCTAAAGAGAACTTCAATATTGTGTCAAATAGTTTTCACAAAATTTTTAAAAAGTAGCTAACAAATTTCACATCCCTGTCTAACACTATGGTCGAGGGAAAACCATATAACTTAACCACTTTATGAAAGAACAATTTAGCAATGTATAAGGCATTGTTGGTCTTCTTACATAGATTAAAGTGGGTCATTTTATAAAATCGAGCAACAACAACCAGAATAGTCATAGCCACGAGATATTTTGGGAAGTCCAAGAAAAAAATCTAAACTCATATCTAGCCATAATGAGTACAGAATGAGTAATCAGGTATATAGGCCAGTATTGTGCTTGCGAGTTTTGACAATTTGACAAGTGTGACAATGCGACACTAGTCGAGCAACATCTCGCTTTAAGGAAGGCCAGTAAAATCTATCCTCAACTAAATGCAATGGTCTTGTTGCTCAAGTGACTCTTCAACCTCATTCATGGGTTGTTTTCAATGCATTGAAGATCTCCCAGGACTTGGATCATTTGATCAAACAACTAGTTCAACATTGTGTCGTTATATACTAGTTTGGTCTTATGGGTGTCTCCCTCAGTGTACTGGTCTTAGGAATCATCAAGAATAGGTTGGTTTTCACCACGTCTAATCATGATTCTAATGCTATCAACAAATTGCCTTTTGATAATGATGTTGTTAATTGTTGCAATGCACAAGATAAAGGTGTAATGATTCAAGTTGTTCTCTCACCTTTTTTTTTAACAACTTTCTAGGTTTTAAAGTTCAATACTACTCTTGTTAAAGTTGTGAGAGAAAAAGGGTGATAAATGAAAAAACAAAAATGAGGGAAGAAGAGATGAAGAAAATCACGATATAAGGAAATACATAATTTTTTGTAACAATAATATTAGTGAAGTTTTCAAAAAATTACCAAGCACCGAGAGCTAAGTGGTTCACCAATTCCGTAGGAACAATCACCCCAAAGTCCAACTCCATACACAAGGGGTTGACGTTGGAGGTGCAAGGCTCTGAGTTTTGATTAAAGCTTTTATTACTAGTTGGGACCCAATGGGGTGCAAGGCAGATTTCTTGATATACTCTGACCAAATTGATGTAGAACATAAAGAGAAATAGAGAGAGAGAGAGGGAGAGAGAGAGAGAGAGGAGTGAGGTTAGAGAGGAGGGTAAGAGACTAGAGAGAGAATATGCAAATATTTTTCAGTCATATTTGAAGTGTTTCGTCCATTGACAAGCTCCACTATCTATAAGGGTTTTGGAGTCTTAGTACAATCAATAAAGACAATAATTTTCAGGAGTAACCTCCTAGGGAACTTGTATGTATTTTAGAAACCCAAAATGTAACTTCTATGAGACCTCAATAGCTTTAAAGAAATTATCACAGTTGAAAGTTTTCACAGCTGAGAAGTAAAAAAGTAAACTTAATACAAGAGTGCACTTAGTACAAAAGTACAATCCCAAGGTTAACACCTAAAAAGACCAAAAGACTTCAATTTTTCACACAACTCTTAGCGTTTCTAGGTTACTAATTCATGATTTTTTGCTGATTTCTTTGCCTCAAATAACCTCTTCTGAAATCATTTATAAACCTAGATGGTTCTCCATCAACACCAATCAACAAAAATGTTGATGTTGTTTTTGAAAAGAGAACAATATGAAAAAGTTGAGCCAAATATTACTACCTTCAAGCTGTAAATAGAAAGAAAAGATGCCATTTCAACAGTAAAAAAGATAAACATTTGGTATGCAACTCAGTTGAAAACAAAATGAAAAACCTTCTTTTATCAAACTGCATCCATCATGCATCTCTAGTCTACAAAAATCATCACTTATTAAATAAAGCCCCATTAAAATGTCATAATTCTAACCAAGGTTCGCCGTTCCGTATCATACCGGTGTTTCGACCCGGGCTCGGTATGGTACGGTACCGGTGTACCGAGCGGTACACCCTGGTGTACCGAATAATTTTATATATTTTCATACTGTAGCAGTGCTACAGTGTAGTACTGTAGTACTGTAGCAGTACCGGGCGGTCCGCGTACCGATAACCTGTCGGACCAGTATGTACCGCCTGGTACAGGCAGTACGCTTCGGTATGGCAGACCTTGATTCTAACCAAGGATTGTCTTTTTTGGGTACCTAACCTGTTTCGGCAATATGTCGGACCGGTACATACTTGTCTACCGACAAATACACCGGTGCATACCGATGTTTCGACAAGGAACAAAAAAAGCATGAAGAGGAAGTGGCGATAGAGGAACAAAGGAGGAAGGAGAAAGGGAGAAGGAAGAAGAGGAAGCAGTGGAGTAAGAAGAAGAAGGAAGACGAAGAAAGGAAGGAGAAGAAGCAACAATAGTGTACCTAGGAAGCAGCAACATTGCAGAAGCAAAGCGGAAGTCGCAACGGCGAGGGCAGCACCATCGTATGCGAGAATAGGGCTCACGTTCGTGATCCCTTTTTTAATGCTGAGTTGGATAGGGGCTCACTACTTTTTTATTTTTTTATTTTAATCGGATCGCTCGAAATGGGGGTGGTCCACGTATCGGCCCACTCTCAAACCAGTATGTACCACCCATACCATACCATTTCGAGCAGTACAATAGTCTATGATTCTAACTGAACTAAGAATGCTAAATCTATGAAACAATTTCTCTCTTAAAAGATGTAAAATTCTGTAAAATAACTATAAGGAGACATCTGCCTTCCTGAATTATGTTCTTGATGATAATGATTTTTTTAATCCAGTACTTACCTACAATATAACTTGTAAACGAAGATATAGGTAAATTAGCATCCTTGATGGCCTTTAAATTAGTTGATAAAAATATGAACATAAATCATCTGGAAAACAAAAGGCACAGAAAAGAACTGCATAGCTCAACTTGAAACAAGTTGAAAACACGATAGGATCTCAGCTCAGTTCAGTTTCATGTAATCAAACTGAAAGCCAAGAATAATGGTTGACACCATGATGACAGCCTTCTTTCCAGTGACACTAACTATAGAGAAACTAATCATCTTAGTTGCACATCTGAAAAATTGTTTCCACCAAGATGTGTGTGTGTATATATACACACCAAGATGTGTGTGTGTGTGTGTGCATATAACAATTATGCTTTGCAATTGAAAAGGTTCAATGAATCCAGGGATTTCTTGTTAAAGGGAATTCAATAAATTTCATTGTCTTAATGAGACAGCCATGATATTCTGCTCATCATCGCAGCCGAAAATGCACTTGATTTATGTTACTAATAATTTAAGGAAATAATTTTTTCGAAAAACATCATGAAGGAGAGAAAGAGATATCATAAAAGAGAACTATCAAAAGAAAAGGAAAAAAGGAAAAGTGCATGCAAGTAAATTAGTTCAACAATAGCCGTTATCCCAACCAGTTGGGGTTGACAACATGTATCTCTTGCCACCATTTTTGGTCCAATTTTATCATATGATGGCCTAGCCTTGCTTTGAAATCAGTGTTGGTACCATTTTCATAATTTGACAAAGCTTTATGTTTGCTATTAGTTGCCTAAAGCAATCCTTCTTTCCCTGAGAGGGACTACCACTGAAGTATTTTCAAATGTCGTATGTGCAAGATGCAAACATACAGAGAACCTATTAAGTGATTTTTCTCAAAGAAGTTTAACAAACATTATGCAATTAAATTCTAACAAAAACTTCAATTCTAAATTTCTGTGGGCTACCCTATCCGTTAATGAATGGCATTATGCAAAGATATTCTAACCTTCTTGATCAACACCTCAGACTTCAGGATATAGTATCACAACATAAATTAGCATAAGCCAAATATAACTCCAATGTCCCTTCAAAAATCTACAATGTCAAGACTAACCACTCATGTTTAAGAGAAATATTGTCTTTATTTTTTCTATAGTGAATTAGGTCTTCTTGATAATGGAAATCATCCAAGGAAGCCTCTGGTATATCGGCAGAGACCTATTGTTGACTCAACATTATTTGGCCTTCACAATATACTATTAGGAAGTCATTCATAATAACAATCTCACAAGATGACAAAAATTCTGTCAACTGTGCCTACTTAGATACTAAAACTTATGATGCTTCAAAACATTAGAACTTTTGTGGGGTCTGTAAACTTTCAAATATTACTGAGAAATTCAATACATACAATTATTTATAAGGACAACATATTCTTTTCATCAGGTAAATGATAAACAAGATCAATTATACATTGGGATCCAGCATATCACATACCGATGAACTAAACTTATCCACGATCATCTCGAGAACATCAGTATCTTCCACACACTGCATTGTATCCATGTAGCCGAATTGCATATTCTCATCAGCACCAATCAATCGAATGAGAACCTGCTTCACATTGCCAATTTCAGAACTAGTTGAAAAAAAAAAGACAGAAATGCTAAGGACCAGTATGTTTGTAGATTTGCATATCAACACAAGAACAAACATAATGAAACCATGAACTGCTAACCTCCATAATAGATGTGATTCCAATGAGATCCACAAGTTGATGAATTATTTCTCGATGACCCTAGACAATAACAAGAGAAGTAAATGCAAACCCTCATTAATGCAAGTGATAACAGAAAAGAGGACACCGTAGAACTTTAGCAAATAACAAACATTAATAGTTGATATCCAACAGAAACCAGATTATAAAGCTTGAAGCATCTATAAAACAACTCCAAGAAAGTGCAGATAAAGCGCAGTAGGAAAAACCAGTGCAAATCATCTTCCACACAAGACCTTAATGCTCAACATCTAGTGATGAAGTCAATCATTCAACTTTATGTTTTTCATAAAAAGATGGGAGAATTCATACAAATGTTCTCTCATTTTGATGGACCAACTGACAATTTGACCAACCATATTCAGCAGTTAATGCAAAGCAAGCATAAATATTTTTTTCACCATTTCCATAAGACCATATGAGAATGAAGGCTAATCAGCTTCCTCTTATTCATGGCTACTGTGCATACCAACAAAAAACAATGGAATTCAAATTCTCAGAATCCCTCTTATACAGTCATGTTAAGAACACAAAACAAAACTCCATGACAAAGAAAACTTAATACCATCTTGGTAGAGGCTAATTGAACAAAAAGAATCAAAACAGAGAAATTTTAATTTTTTTGCTTTACCACGTGAACATCACAAACCTGAACATAATTAAGAAGAGGGCCTGCTTTCCGCATCATTAGGCATATCACAACCTTGCCAAACAACATAAAATTTGCAATACTAGGTGTTAGACACAAAGAAAAGCTTGAAAATGCTGAGAAATCACTTGTAACATTAGTTGTCTTATATAAAAAGTTCCAGTGATTACCTTACTGAAGTAACCAGCTAGCAATGTACTATGTGGGTGATCAGGCTTAAGGAAGGAGAATAACAAATCCAGAAGCTGAAACAAGAGAAAAAAGGTGCAATCTAGAAAAGAGTGGTCATGTTTAATCATACATAAGCTGTTAGGAGTTTCATAGAGACATTTACTTGTACATCCTCAACTAAAGCCCTCAATATGATATCAACATCACAGGTAAATATCTCACATGCAATAAACGGAAACCTGTATAAAGACAAGTTTCAACAAATAAGTCGAGTGGCAAAGTATTCAAACAATATCTCAGAAGACAAAAAAAATCATAGCTCACTTGAAAATATTCTTCTTATCAGCATCCTCAGGCGGCTCCTCTATAATATAACGAAGTAATTGCTCCAATTGGGCCTTTCCTCTCAAACTGCATATGAGGATAGCAAAATAATAAACGACGAATAAAGCATTGCAAAGAGATCAAAACAAAATTGCAAATTACAGAGACGCCTATGTTCAGATTCGGCATTAACAAAAAAGGTTGAATACAAGGAGATGTCCAAAAATTAATTACAATATTTATGTCACATATTTACTTTATTAAATAGAAACGATTACAATATAAAATAAATTAAAAAACAAGATATATTATGATTGCTTCATATTTCAAAATTAACATAATTTGCTCAGTGCTTGTTTCTTGCAAAGGAAAAGCGGATAGGCCATTCCAACATCAAATATAATAAGCATTGAGGCATCTGGCACTCCAACAAATAGGTGGCATCCAAAGATGCATCTAAAGAGATTCTTTTTAATTGACATGAGAGGATCTATAAGCTTACTAAGATACATAATACTTACTCCCCTCCTTACACAGAGATGGCAGTTTATCCTTTTTTATCAGTAAGTAAAAAACATTTTATTGCTTAAAACAAAAAGAAAGCATACATTTCATCTATATGCTTGTTTACTAAGATACACAATGTTTGTTCCCCTCCCTATTACAGATATGGCAATTTATCTCTTTTTTATCAGTAAGTAGCTTATTGCCTAAAACTAAAATTTTCATTCTATAGAATTGAGTAAGACAAGAAACAAACTAACCAGTAACACTTGAAGCTATATAACAATTATATCATAGAAAACCTAAGATCATGAAGTTGCATTGCCTTCCTTACTTCTACGTACTAGTTCAGCAGTAGAAAAATTAAGAGATAGGAGAAAGAAGTCCAAAAGTTACCAAGAGATTCAATTTCATCTGGTCAGGTCTGTACTTACCAGACCTGACCAGACGAAACTACCAGTATTTACTAGACCAGGTATGAACCAAGACGTGGACCACCCCATTTTGGATGATCCGTTCTGTTCATTTTGTTAGATGTTAGGCTGGAACTTTTTTCTTTTAGAAGGCTCCAACACTAAACCAGATGCCTTTTAGGGCTAGCGAGAATAAGCGAGCCTGTTCTCCCTCTCCGCACTGTCGCACAACCACCATGGCCCGCCCATCGTCACCCATTGCCTACCACTCACCTCATCTCCTACATTTCTCTTTCTCCTCCTTATCCCTTCTTCTCCCTTCTTCCTCCTACCCCCCCCCCCCAACAGAACGCTACCACAGTTCATGCCGACATACAATGTATTGATATGTTTGCATATATTGGACCCGTACCACTCTAGCTATCAACCGGTATGGGTTTGGTACCCAAAATTTCATTCCTTGTTGCATGGTATATATCTACGTACCTCCAAAACACATGTACAGCTCAGTATTTCTAGGAATGGGTGATATATTAGAACACAATTGACATATAAGAAAGCAAGCAAACAAATAACAAACAAAGAGGAAACAAAATATTACCATTGAAGGTGCTTGATTGATTACCATTAAAAAAAGGTGTTTGAAGGCTAGTTTTTCTAGTAAACCAACCACAATTTGTACCGGCTGATAGCCAACATGTACGTGAACCAATCAATTTCACCAATCTAGCCCAGAAGAAAGCTAGCCACTACATAAACTCAACATGTAAGGGTATCACCAAGCACCAATATCGAGGTTTTTCTCCCAGTACCAGTATTGAGTTCTTTTCCTATTTTTCTCTGTTTTTTATAATATCAACAGCATTTTTTTAGGTTCCTCTCTCTCTCTCTCTCTTCCTTTTGTTTCCTCTGTAGCCTTGCCTCCTTTTCTTCTTTTCCTCCTCCTCCATTACCACTACCACCACCACCACCACCTCCTCTTCTTCTTCCTCCTATGCCACCACCTCCTCCACCACCACATCCTCTCAATCCCTCCCTCCTCATCACCAACCAGACACAGCATCAACGTGTATGCCTGCTGACACATAGGACACCCAGTGGCACCAATACAAATAATAGTATGCCCAAGGACCACTTTCAGCACTAGACAGATTTGTAACCTCGCTCAACTGTCCTTATCATTAAATTTCCTACTGTCCCTCTTGTTTCTCTTCCTTGCTCCTCCTCATCGACATTCATTCCCACTTCTTGTCTTCCTTTCCTTCCTACAACAGTGATGAATCGCCCATATTTGGCCAACTCTAGCTTATTGGTATGAGTCAATCTAAGTTTGAAAAGGACTTGTAGAGAGAGAGAACAGATAGCACTGACAACAATGAGGACTTCAAAACCAAACCTATGATCGTAACAACCAATATTACCAGACTGATCTCATACTACTCGAGGTCGACTTAATAGATCTGTTTCCCACCTTTAAAAACTACTGAGGCCAATATAACTAGAAAATGAAGAAAACCTAATACATATAATAGATACATTTTTATATTTTAAAATATTCAATTTTAAATATAATGATTATCTCAAGCTCGAGTCTCCAGGAATGAATGAAAAAACAAAAAAAAAGAAGATTGTGACTTTGGATAGTGACTCCAGAATTTCATTTAGACTCCTAACAATCTGTTTAGGCATAGAACTTTTAAATTGCATAATTTCCACATTTTTCTTCTGTTGTTATTTTTCAATGTGATGAGACAATTGGTGTTCCAGTGTATGAATGTATAAATCAATATTTAAAGCATTTAAACGACCTTATGGTTTATTATATTTGTGCGGTCAATTGTTCTCAAACCAAAACAGGTCAATTACTAGTTTGATTCTTGCATTCTTTTTATATGCATTTATGTTTTCTTGAATTGTTTGAGACAGTGTGCATAGTTTTTTTTATTTCTTTTCTTCTAGACTTTCTTTGGCCCTGTAGAAGGATGCATCACCAAACGTTGGTATATTTATTCACATTCAGTCAAAATATTGAAGATAATTTTCCACATTTTACATTTAATTGGGTTAGTAGCAGTCAGGTTTGTCGCTCATTCAAAGCTAGCTAACTAATGGATAAATAATTTAATACTATAGAAAAGGATACACCAAAATTTTCAGCATCCTTTTTAGTTTTTAGTACCATATCTCATTCAGTGCTAGCTAACTAAGAAAATTTAAAGTTCTTCCTATAAGATCGTTATCTCAACATGTAAAAGCAAATGATTAGAAGCAAATATGTATATTCTTAAACATAGACCAAAAAGCCAATACTAGAGTAAAACAAACTATTACAAATTTAAAAGACGAGTATTCAGTGCTTTGCATTCTTGGATTATTTCATCCTCATCAAGAAGATCTTCCAAGGTAAAGTTTTCCTTCTCCAAAATAGCGTCTACCTGAAACAAAGCTGGAACCAGTATTAAAAAATGCATTTTGTATTATACGCATTATATAAACTAATAATGACAATGCTTATGAAGGGAAGAAACAGCAAATATTTTCGCAATCATAAGTAACAATATACAAAAATTTCCCGTGGTGACAAATGGTAACACAACGCGCAACCCAAAATTCGGACGAACAAAACCCCAATCCCATCCAAGAAGGTGAAAGAATAAGAAATCGAATCCAGTAAGAGCGTAAAGACTCACGGGAGACGCTTGACTCAGTCCGGTCATGCGCCAGAACATCCTGACGGCCCCCGATCGAAAGATCCCAAGCGCGCCTCGGGCGCCCCAACTGCCAGATCTAGGGTTCCGGGGACCGGAACCCTCGCCAATTGGCTCCAAGAAAACCCTATGGGGGGGAACAGAACCCTAGGATCCCCGATCCGCTCTTCCTCGGGCGGCTTCTTGAAGGCGAAACAGATCGATGGTCGGAGGAAAACGCGCTTCAAAGAAGGAACGCGCAGCGAATTGGCCGGCGATTGGGAATGGGAGGGCTCAAAGGGATCGATCTCGAGGAGGGTTTGAGGGAAGAACGAGATGAGGAGGGCAGAGGAGAGGGAGGGAGAAGGGAAATGGGCGAGCCCTTCAATCGCGGGAGACGAAAGAAGGAGATCGTTAGGCCTACGGTTTGCTTAAATACGGCCCCCTGGCGAGTGCTTCCAACTATTTCGGGAGATAAATTAGTTTCTTTTTTATTTATTATTGTATATATATTGTATTTTTTATATCCTTCAAATTTTTGAAAATAATCATTTATATAACTTTGGTTAACATCCATCTATAAAATTGGCAACATAACATCTAAAATAAAATATTCTTCTCATTAATACACATGATAATTCATAATTTATGGTAGTCAAATAATTCTTGAGGCTTTTGATCGGATGAATTTTGACCCGTACGAGTTTTATGACTCATTTGAGCAGGATTTCAATGATCAAAATCTTTTTAAACTTCAAAAAGACTTATTTTAACTTAGGCATCATGCCTCATCCCAAATAAAATATTTGGATCGCATCATCACAGTGCAACAAATGGATCGATGCATGATGTATTGACTAATTTATATTGCATGAACAAACACGGAACTTGTAATTAATTAATTAATTCCTTCCAAAAAATATTCTTACGAAAAATAATGATCAAGTTAGCTTTATATCAACAACCAAAATGGGCGTAGCAAACTCTCAAATTATTTGTTTGCTTATCTTAATTACTAGTTCATAGGCCAACCATTATCATGCTCAATTTAATTTGGTCAAATTCCAGTCAATATAGCTTCCAATTTGTGATATCATTTGAGCTACCTTGAAGGTTAATTATGATCGTTCTTCTAATTGAGATCCACCGTCGTTTTGGATGTGATCTTTATTAGTTATAATGATCAAAGACTAACTATGGTACTGTGAAGGCAGATCTTGATCATTCATACTACATAAGAAAACAATTATAGTCATCTATTTATTTTGTGGCCATGCATAAATTTTGGAGCATTTTGATATAATTTCCTGCTAGTTTAGACCCAATATAACTATTTTGATATCATTTCTCATCAAGTTAATTAAAATTTTAACTTGAGTGAGTTGGTTGTGAAAACAAGTTTAAAAGACCAAAAATAAATTTAATTATGCTATTTTAACTTTGTGTGGAGAAAAATCATTTAAATTTGTTTTGAATTTAAAATCAGATTTTTTTTAATTTAAGAATATTTTCCATGTTTAACCAAAACTGGGATGTTATGGACTGGTGAAAAGAAATTCTTTTTTGAAGAAATTATAATATTTGTTTCTTGAACATGTCATAATGGAATATAACCACAAACCTCTCATAATTGTTAGGCTTTGGCTGAAATTATAGATATTGTGGTTAGAAGAGGTGAGACAATTGAATTAGTATTAGTAGTATGAGGATAGGTAGAGAAACATATAAAAGTTTTACTAGAAACTATATATGAGGATCTATATGATTCTAAATTGACTAAAAATATTATTTTATGTTGAACTTAATGATAACTCCAATTTGTATGTGCAAAGCAAAGAGATGGAGAACAAATGTAGTGCTGAAGGGGATGAGAGAAGAACCATAACAAAGAAATGCAAGCAGAAGATTTGTGGATTGATTTGGACAAAGATCAAATAACCAAGTTGTGTCTCTACTTTAGCCATTGGGTGTATGTTCTTAAGCAGCTTGCTGTTTCCTTTCATCTCGAAACAAATGATCTATTATACATCCTACTGATTCATCAGAAATGAACACAAGTGTTCCCTTTTTTATCCAAAACATCTTCCAACTTCTCTTGCAAAAGTGATATTGGGATGAAAAGATATTAATCCAAGTGATGAAAATTTCTTTTGTCTTCAGGCTTATTGATCTTACTAGAACATTAGATTAAACTTGCTGTGATGAACTGATGTCTGAAACAGTTAATTAGGCCATCCAAAATAAGCTGCATACAATAAAGAAAATAACAGAAGTGTTGCAGAATTAGTTCCAACAGATTAATGCATACTTTTGATCAATGATTGTTATATCTTCATATATTATCAACAAGCAAAACCCTTATTCTGGCATTTCTCTGAACTAGGAAATATATATTTGTATATTAACACATATTTTTTACCTGTACAAATGGACAACAATGCTGTTCAACCTGCGGAATTCCTTAGACAAATATATACCAAGGATTCATACACTGATTCTGATTCTGATTCTGATCCTAGTCATAGAGGAGAGAGGATTGGAGTAGATAAAGAGGGAGTTACAAAGATTTCAAGACACCACACCTTCTTCAACAACCAGCATGAACATGAAAGCTTGAGTGTTTCAGACACCACACCTTCTTCAACAACCAGACCATGGACCAGTAATGTATGTAGATTTTTCCTCTTTATTCTTTTTGTTATAGATACTGTTTGCATTTTCTTGAATGAAGCAGAACAACTGCTGCGGAACCAATTGAATAATGAGATAATTGAATTAACCTTGTTATATGAGATAATTGAATTAAATAATTTAATAATGAGATAAAAAAAAACCTTGTTATATGTCTTACATCAACAATAATGAGATAATTGAATTGAATAGATTGATAATGATTGGTGAGGATGTATATCCTGTCGGATGCTTTTAAGGTATACTCTATAGTTATTGTATAGGTTGTATGTAACAAAATAACAAATAATATGAACACTAAGTCATGAAAACCCGTTGCCTCCGTTTATTGAAATCTTTCTCTTATTGCTTCTATCTTCTTCAACAGATCTGCGGCCTTTACATCGGTGCAACCTAACTATCACGTCATTGACTGCATTCCGAAGCATCATCCAAATATCCAATCCACCTGCAGCAACTTGAAGAACCCCTCAATGCTTCAAACACTCGACAGCCTCACATGCAAGATTGCAAACCTGGCTTTGGATGCTTCGAGGAGAACGATTAGCTGAACAAGTTGGCAACCCTCAATAATTTGTCTTCCCTGACGGAGCCCCCTTGCAGAGATGTTTGACAGGAAATGGCAGATCTCACTGTGCTAATGGAGATACAGATGATAGTCCACTCCATTTTGCCCTGGTCCTATTTGTGCATCGCATGTGAGAGCAATAAATGCCAAACACTGTGGATTTGTATGAAGCTGCAGCAGAAATCAATTGTCCTCCCTCATGAGTTCATGTCTTTTTCATGGAAAACATCATCCAACATCAGATGTGTATTTTAACTTTGAGTTCCCCCTCATCAAAGCACTCTGACGTCAATAAGAAATGCCAATATGATACAATAAACTCTCAGAAAAATGCTGCGTATATAATCCTTGCCTGCCAGTGATATCTATGATCCACCATTTGGCTCATTCCAAGCATGTAGAAGCATGACCACGTGATATCATACCCCACATGAATCACAGGTCACAAAAATTGATGTGCATCAGAAATAAACAAATCATTCTCATCATTACACTGTTAGTTTCTGTAGCTCTTTCCCTATTAATAAAATCAACCTTGATAAATTGAATGACCAATAATACATCATCACCTTACGGTGGAGAATGATTTAAACATGTTTGGGTGTATTGTACGAACAAGAAAAACCTGAAGCTTGAAGGTCCTGTGAAGATTCAAGCTCACAAGTCATCAGAGTTTTTCTTTTGGTCTGCCACAGTACAGCCTGTTTCTGCATCCGCGTGGAGCTGAGGAGCAACTCGCCATGATATAAAATCGGCGGAGGTGTTGTCATCTGCAGGTAAACAGGTCCGGAGGCTGCAAGTGGTTCGGCTTGACGTAGCAAGCAGTGGCTTTTTGTTCTTCCATGGCCAGTACGGATGACCTCAAACCCTGGACGAGGAGGAAGACGACCTTCCGCTTGCACTTATCTGACACAAGACTCACACACGCAGAATACAATCATAAAGAGGTGTGGGGGGATTCGATAAATCAAATAAATATATATGTGAATCATCATCACATGAATCAGAAACATTAGTAGAGGGGGATTCCATTATAATCTTCTCGAGTCATGCTAAATAACACGGTGGAGCAGCCATGCTACTGAGTGCCGTGCTCGTCTCGTTGGTGAGTTCCGACCGGTGCGCGTGGCCCACGTGTCCCGACTCGTCGCGCCAACCACGTGCGACTCGGCCGCGTCCCACCTCGCTGCGACAACATCTGTGGCCCGGGCCCATCGCATCAGAACCGTCCGTCGGCGTGGCCGTGAACGCACTCCGGCGCTCCCTAATTCGCCCACGTGGCGACGTTTTGTTCTTCCCCCCTCGCTCCTCGCCGAGAATACCGCGTGCCGTCTGTCTCTGACGCCAGCCGTCCATCCTTTGATAAGCATGAATCGAGAGGTCCCGCCGTGCCGATTGATCGCGGGGACCAACGCGACCTCGGTAAGCTGCGCTAGTAATGCTAGCGTGTGCCGGTCCGCCTCCCGCCTATAAAGGGACCGCGACCTACTCGTCAATGCGATGGTCGTCTACCCGTCCAGGTCGGCTTAATCGGCTCGCCGTTGACAGGACCTGGGTGGAAAAAAAGTGGTTGGTGGTTATATTTTTCCGGTGTAGTACACAGAAAGATGTCGTCGTCGGCGGCTTGGATGGAGCCGAGCTTGGACGTGGACAAGCTGAGCCACGAGATCTTCTCGATACTGGAGAGCAAGTTCCTCTTCGGATACGACGAGCCCAAGCTCTTCCTCCCCTCCACTCCCGCCACCATCGCGGCAGCCGGCAGGGTTCGCGTCCTCTCCATCGACGCGGCCGACGGTGCCCTCGCCGGCGCCGCACTCGTCCGCCTCGAGGCCTCTGTCCGCAAGCAGTGCGGCGACCCCGCCGCCCGCGTCGCCGACTTCTTCGACCTCGCTGCCGGATCCGGCGCTGGGGGCGTCCTCTCGGCCCTCCTCTTCACCCGCGGCCCCGACGGTCGGCCACTCTTCTCAGCCGCCGAGGCCCTCCGACTCCTCACCAAGCACCGCCACCGCCTCTCCTCCGGGGCCCAGCGGAAGGGTATCCTGCGTGGCATCCTCGGCCGGTCGGGCGGATTGTTCCGGCGTGTGTTTGGGGACGCAACGTTGCGGGACACCCTCAAGCCGGTGCTCATCCCGTGCTATGACCTGGCGACGGCGGC